AAAACTGCATTACTACTTTGAATATTATGGGATGTTACTTTACACCAAACTTTACTTAGTCAGCTCAGTCAGTTTTGCTTGTTCTAATTGACAGTGGCTTTCTGGAATGGCAGAAAAAGCTTTCCTATTGAGGTTTTCACCTTAATATGCCAGTTTAGCAAGGAATCCTTTGCCAAGCTGAGCATAACTTCAGGGTTAGGACCTCATTTTTACATTAGTTAATGTTCCTCCGTAGTATCACCAAATCTGTCTCCAATCCAGAATAATTTTCACTGGGATTTTCATCAATGTTTTTAAGACTGTACATTGATAATTTACTAAGAACATGTTTTTTTTTTCCCAAAAACAGCTCTATGGGTCTGCCTTAACTTGAACTTAACTCAGGATTCCTGAGATGTGGCTACTCCAGTAATTGCCTCTGAAAGATTCATTAGCAGTACATAAATGTATTAGCAGGTTCCAGGTTGTGTCCAGGAGCTGAGATGGAGACAACCTCCAAACCACCATTCATGGGGTTCACACATGCCATGGCATAAATAAGCAAGGCAGAATTTGGCTTGGCATTATGTGTATGACACCAGCCGTATATAATATGTGAAGCTGGAAGCAGGGAGAGACAAAAAAAGCCAAGGTGCTGCTGGCTTTTTTAAAAGCTAGCTTTTAAAAAAACTGTCCCATCCTGGCTTTTTAAAAAACTGTCCTATACGAGTGTTGCTGTTGTAAACCAGCAGTCTCCAACCTTGGCAACTCTAAGACTTGTGGACTTCAATTCCCAGAATTCTCCAGCCAGCCATGGGGAATTCTGGGAATTGAAGTCCACAAGTCTTAAAAGTTGCCAAATTTGGAGACCCTGCTGTAAACCATCCTCCCTGTTTTCATGAGCAGAAACAGAAAAAAATCATCACCTATACCAGTGAAGTTTCCATTGGAATATAAATTGTACATCTTAGATTACCAAAGATACGATGGTTAGCTAGGATATCAGGAACTTGGGGACAATTTGAAGATGCATTTTAAAAGACTTGCAAGGTTTATACCATGAACCTATCAATACTTTGGCCCTACAGCTATCAAACCAATATAAGACCCAAATGTTTATGAAAATGAGGAGGTTCACACCAACTCCCAAGCAAAAAGGGAATGTTACTTATAGTCATACAGGTTTCTAAATTTCTATGTCAACATTTACTAAAGAAGAGCAGTTCATTCTTATTTGGATATACTTTTCAATTTCTTAGTCATTTTCACCCTGTTCTTTACTGGTATCTGTTCAAAACTATAGTGCTCACTTCCTCAGGAATAAGATAACAAAAAAAGGGTTTCAATTGTATTTATTGTGAGCTTGCCACTGCTATTCCATTCATGTTTCACAGTTACCAGCCTCTCAAATACAGGGGCTAAAGTAGTTCTCTCATCCCAGGAACTTGCCATTTGACCAGGCGATGCTCTCCAAAGATGTCCAGGGTTTGAACATGACTGTCAACATGTGGGAAAGCAAGACCAAGAGCTATTAGAAAAATGCTTCAGTCTTGGGCACAACATCGTTAATACATTCTCCCACTTTTAAAAGTGTGAAATGCAACTGTACAGTACCTAGGTTGAATGAAATTATCTGTGACAGTAGAATTCAATTCTTCCATCCACCACCATCATGTCAGGGATAAAATAGGTGTTTCTAAACTTATGTGGCCAAATTATTTGAGTTTCAACTTCAGGATCTGGCCTTCTAAAGAACAGTCGTAATGAGAAGGAAGGACTCACTGGAGAAGAGCCTAATGCTGGGAAAGATTGAGGGCAATAGAAGAAGGGGACGACAGAGAATGAGATGGCTGGATGGAGTCACTGAAGCAGTAGGTGTGAACTTAAATGGACTCCAGAAGATGGTAGAGGACAGGAAGACCTGGAGGAACGTTGTCCATGGGGTTGCGATGGGTCGGACACGACTTCGCAATTAACAACAACAACAACAAAACTTATGTGTGAGACCAGAAATTACAGTACTTCCCAAAGGTTAAAAATACATAGGGAATTTGATTAGGATCTAATTAAGAATGCATATTCAAACCCAGTGATGGTTCATTAGGCCCTTTTTCAAGAGAGTGGAGCCACAACAGATCACCCCCATTTCATCTTTCCATTCCTGGCTCAAATCTATTGTCCCACAAGATGTGTATCACTGAAATAAAATCTAATTAAATCTACATAAGATACAGATCTACATAAGATACAATAATTCATTTAGTGACCATTCAAAATTACAACGGCCTTGAAAAAATAAACATAATTGTTTTTCACTTGTGTGTTGCAGCATCCCCATGGTCAGATGATTAAAATTCAGATGCTTGGCAACTGGTTCATATTTATGACGGTTGCAGTGTTCCAGGGTCATGTGAAACTTGAAACCTTCTGACAAGTCAATGTGGGAGCCAGATTTACTTAATAACCATGTTACTAACTTAACAAGTGCAGAGATTTACTCAACAATAGTGGCAAGAAAGTTCGTAAAATGGGGCAACTCACTTAACAACTGTCTTAATAAAGGAAATTTTGGGATCAGTTGTAGTCGTAAATCAAGGACTACTTGAACATCATGTAAACATATTCATCCAGCATCAATGTTCTGCAGGATAAGAGCTTTCCTATTAACAAACATGGCTAACAAATGTGGCATCTGCAATATTGGCCAGGGGGCACGGGGACCCAAAGAGATTGAAATCTTTTGGTGATCTTACCATTCATTCATTGCCTATTTAGCTGAAATCCTTAAAATATTTAACAAGGTACATTATTTTCTATTCTGACTTTTGCTGTTTTCCAAATAGAAATTTAGTTCTTGTCAGTAATATCTGTATCAGAAAAAGGTAGTCCTTAATCTATGGAGGCAAAATAATTTATCTGCTATCTACACTACTGTTCAGTGATTGGCTAGGTTTGCACTTTGTGCTGGACCAAAATATTGTTCATGCAGCTGGATTAGAGTGTCAAACAGCTGGATTTATAAACCATAATATGTGAACCCAGTTATTCTCTCACATAATTAGTGTTGACCCCAACCAAAGGGCCACAGCAGAATCTTACAGCAGTCCAAAAACCTAAGTTGTATTTCATTATTCCTGATAATAAAATGCTAATAAGAGTATACTTTACCACTGCACAGTGTATTAGGAAACAAGAAGTCCGTGCACTTCAATTCCCGTATTTGCAGAGAGAATAGGATACAAAATCCAACAACTCATTCACTTTTTGCAAAAGGCTGCCCTTTCCCAACATAATTTGATCTGTATTTATACTGCCAAAAGATCATCAAGAGAAAATAAAATTGGCATCTTATAATGGCGTCTTATAATGTGAGACTGTTATACCAGGGTTCTATTTGAATGAGCCTGCTAGAATTTAAAATATTTCCTGAAATGAGTTGGAAAATGCTAAGCCACTGCCTCAAAGGCTGTCTTTTTATCTTTTTGCCTTGGAAATTGTTGCTCAGAATCATAAGCAAGAATCATTTGAATTGACTGCTCAACTGTGACTATCACCGATATATCTCTTGATTAATTTTTTCCAGTGAACCTTTGGTCATCTTAACTTGCCTGTACAACAGAAGAATGACACAAAAACATAGTTAAAGAAAATAAAGCTCCTATGTCTGGACTAGTCTTGGCTATGACTTAAATATATATCTAATTATGCTGCTTTTGGGAAACTGCCATATTCTTCTTTAAAAAAAAAAACTTTACATTGGCAGCAGCTGCATCAAGTTGATCTATCCCAGCCGCCAAATAGGCTGACAGAATAACAGTTTTGTAGTAATCGTAGTCTTTATTTCAGATGTTGACCACCATTGAACAATGAAGTTTACAGCCATCCCATTTTAAATGTCCATTCTATGTTCTGTGGAATAACTAAAATTTAAGCCACAATTGCACACTTTTTGCCCAGGAATAAATTCCCTCACTCCAGTGGGGATTAATTTAAATTAGCTCCAATTGTGGTTTAATCCTTTTTAAAACCAGTTATCTTAAAACATTTGTAGTTCTGTTCGCAGTCAGTGTATTACAAGAAATCATATAGTTCCAAAATAGGCTAACTTTGCTTCTTTATTCAGAAGTAAGTTTTACTGTGCAAAAATGGGGCTAACCTCTAAGAAAAGTAGCAAAATCCCATTCAAGGGGAGGTTGTGGCAAAATGGCGGGAAAGGCTTCCAGTGTTTCTCAACCTTGATAATTTTAAGGCATGTGGACTTCGACTCCCAGAATTCCACAGCCAGCAATGCTGGCTGTGGAATTCTGGGAGTCGAAGTCCACATGCCTTAAAATTATCAAGGTTGAGAAACACTGACGGTTTAAACTGATTTGCCACATGCCTAATTCACCTCCTCTGAGTTTTAATATGCAGTCAGAAAAAAGACAAAAACAACTACCGGTACTTCCTGAAAGATCCTTTTGAAATTGTCCATCAAATTTGGGACAAATTAAGTGAATAATTTCTCAAGGAAGATGATGTTCTCCAAGAATTATCTGGGGACAAAACTTTTGCTTAGGTAATTCTGCTAGTGAAAATCTTCCTCTGGGATTTAACAGAAATGCCTCAGGGAGGCTGCTGAACCTGAGAGAAAATTAAACAGGAAAGGCAGAACATTTATATACATCCCTTAGCCACTGCACAATTAAGTACAATAATACTCCCCTGTACCCCTGAGAATTTCTCTGAAAATATTCTCTTTAAAAGAGTTTCTAAAACACCTTCTTTTTCAGTGTTGAATTTATTTGCTCTGCATCTGTTCCAAACAAATAAGTAGTACGGTCGTAATCCAGCATCCAGTTCTCCATATTCATTGCCATTTTGGTATGTCATACTTGGAAGTCAGATCAGCAGGTAGTACCCCAATACCCTTGAAGCACTCCTCCCCAAAAAGAAGGAAGCAAGGAAAAGAAAACTGATAAGAGGAAAGGAGAATGTTAGAAACCATCTTAGAAAACCACACAATTCCAGTGTATCTGAGAGGCATTCTGTCTTTATTAAACAATGGCAAGTGCTTGAATCAATTGGTTGTTTGGATCGAGTCATCTGAAGTCATCTAAATCAGAGGTCCCCAGCCTTCTGGGCACCAGGGACTGGTTCCGTGGAGAGAGGTTTTTCCACGGACCGGAGGGGGCATGGTTTTGTATGTTACCTGCACCCCATGGATGGGACTTTGTTTGTGCGGCCCATTTGCTGGCATGCCATGGCTCGGTACTGGTCCATGGACTGGGGATTGGGGACCCCTGATCTAAATCCCCAATCCTGCTACTGCTGTTTTAGGCACACAAATAATTCCTAGTGATATCATAGCAGCATCTATCCTAATCTTGATAATTATATTTATATGCAGTAGCTACCTAGCTCATAAACATGACTCTGGGCAGCTTACCATAAACACAAATCATAAAAGAAACAAGCATTGAAATTATGCCATAATAAAAAAATATTATTTAAAAAGACTAGGGGAGAGTATCTTCAATGTTACATATGTTTATTTATTCACCTTTCCAAGCACCTAACAGTCCAAATCTGATCTTATTTATTTTGACATCTGCCAACCTTGATGAGGTTCTGCTCTCTTTATAATGTTCAGAACTGCCTTCAACCTCAGATGTACTGGACTACAATTCCATGATGCCTGTCACAGTGTTCGTATTGGGAGGTCACTTCATTGTTACCAATTACCCTGTAGCTCATATCAAAATACAAAATAAAACATTCAGAATAAAACATAAAATATGTTTAAAACAGCAGAACTATATGTAAAAGAGAAGTACAGGAAACAAATTAAATAGAGGCTAAATAAGAAATATTTCTGTTAATTTACCTCTATCAGACCTATACAGTAGGTATATCTCAGCTGGACTGTTTTATTGAAATAAAGGATTGTATTGTATGCAGTTTGGGGATGACCACACATGAAATGGATAGTTCTAATATGAGGGTCCCAATTAGTTTGCCTGTCTGATGTGCAACCCAAGAAGCCAGTCTCTCTTTCTTATACATCTGATACTCAAATAATATATGTATTAGGTCTTCTATTGCTGGAGCTCTGCCAATGTAAATACATTTCTTATAAGGAACTTCATTAAATCATCCATATTTAATCATTGTATCCAGCAGCTCAAATCTTGTGTTTGTAAATACCTCCCTAAGATGTTTTGGCATTTCTATTTTTAGATATTTGGCAATTTGGAAGGTGCCATTTATAACAGCTCATCCATTTCAGCGAGCCAAGCTTGTTGAAGTTGGCTATCTCTGTTGGTGCATCTATATGTATTGGTGGGCAGTAATGTGAATGGGGAACCAGCATATCCAGAATATAGGATGGGGAATGAATAGTGATAACATTTACACCCTATTGCAACGTTGTTGTTTACCTTTTTTTAAGAATTGACACACGATTGTGCTGTGTGGTACTAAGATTTGACATCAACTCGATAACCCAATCAGCCACCTTTAATAGCTATGAATTGTTTTTAGACTGCTCATTATTCACAATGGCAGTCTTTGCTGCTACGATAGATGTCAATGTGGATATTCCAATTACTGTACATAAAAACTTGAGTATATGGGTATCTCTTCCAAAGCAGGCCTGCTTACCAGAATATTATTAGTCCACTTGAATTTTATCGTTTGGCTGTTTTTCCAGAAGATCTAGAGCAAAAATGTGGTCCTAGGATCCTTGAGAGTTCCCCAATATCTTTTCGGGGGGTCCTTAAAATCAAAATTATTTGCCAACTTATGTTGAAAAATAATACAATATTAAAATTTCATCCAACAATCTTGGGCAGCAGTGGCAGCAGCAAATGGATCAATTTTTAATATGGTAAATAATCAATATAACCCATTCAAGCAAAACATTTTTGGGGATCCTCTATAACTTTTAAAAGAGGGAAGGGATTCTGAGAGAAAAAAGTTTACCGATCTAGGGGGTGGAAAGAGAAATTTTGATTTGCTTACAACTGTTCAGATATGCTTTGTCACTTAGGTGAAAAGTTCAAGCTCTTTTCTTCAAAAACCAATACATAACTAATGCAAAACATGCTTTAAGACTGCTTTTAATTGAATAGCTTTTATAAATAAACAAAATAAAAAGCCCAGTATAAATTGAAAAGACAGGAAGGGGAAAAGGAAAGAGAAAACAATCGTAACAAAAAAAATATATCTTTATTTAGCATTGACTTCCCTAAACGAAAGGGAATGCACTCTGCATATGCTCCGAGACATCCAGTCCAAGGCAATACTCATGCTTGAAACTCCTGCCCATTAAGCAAATCAAACTCTGCAACCCTAATCAACTATACGTACAAACCATATGGTGAATCCAAAGAACATATAACCATCTCCCGAAGCGAAAATGCAAAGAACGAGCAGCGGCCGTGATGAGAAGAGGCAAAGCCATCTTTATGGCCTTTGCCAGGACTCCCGTGTAAAGAATACATTCCGTCTGAACGGAGGATCCCAGCTCGGCTTTTGAAAGCAACGATCCCCCCAGGACCGGCTTTTTCAAAATCCATTTGCTCTCCCCGGTGAGGAAAGCGCGTCGCTCCCCGTTAAGTGCAAGCGTAGCAATTCCGCCGCTCCCGCTTGCAAGCCGGCGCTGCAGTCCGGTCCTCCGCCGTTGCCTCCAACTCTCCACCCCCCTTCCACCTTCACCTCGTGGTGGGGTTCAAAATGGCTGCTTTCCCTCCTCCCCCTCCTGAAACTGTAATCCGCCTCGCTCCGAGCGGCCGAAGGAAGCCGGAGCGAGGTATTCCCCCAGAAATCACGAGCGGCTGCCCTTTGTATTTACGCACGGTGGGAAATCCGGCGGTGCGAAGGGCACCCGGGCTCCTTCGCCTCGGCGGATTATTCTCTATTCCCAGGGGGAACCGAGGTCCCAGGACTCGCTTCTGCGCCGTTCGGGCTTTAGAGGAATACTCGTGCGCGGCCAGGGACCGGAGTGAATGAGGATCGCAACCGTTCTTGTTTCTTTTGCACGCTGTGCAGAAAAATCGCCGCACTGGTTTGCAGGGGGAAGGTGTCGGGCGCTGCTCCTTTCGGGATTGCAAAACTGGGGGGTGGGGGGGGGAAAGGTAGGAAGAAAAAAAAATAGAAGAATGTCCGCCTGCTTAGATTGGATCTCTCGCAATCCTCTCCCCCCCCCCCGCGGATCCCGAGCACGAGGCGCGTGGAACCGCGAATGGAACGTGAATCCGGAACCTTCCTTCCACTGGCTGCTTTTCCCTGCTGCTAGCCCGTCAGGCGCGGTGGCCAAGTGGTAAGGCGTCGGTCTCGTAAACCGAAGATCGCGGGTTCGAACCCCGTCCGTGCCTCACGTTGGACGGCGCAGCGCCGCGGCTTGGTACGAAAGGGAACGAAGTGGGATTTCCTTTCTCAGGCCACTTTTTACTCGGGTTCCATAATTGAGGAAAAATACCAAGCGGAAATGGAGAAATGGGCTAGCCTGCAAAAGATGTAAGGGTTAAAAAAAAAAAACCTGTTGGGGGAAATGTGAGTCTGGATTAAAGAAGCGGATTCGGCTTGCAAAAATAGGGATTAACAATCCCGAGAAGAGAAACTGAAACGTTGTTCCTATGGGAAACTAGTGCTGCCAGGCCTGAATTGCAGAAGTCCGATCGATCACCGAGAAAAAGATACAGAAGCCGCCCCTGCCATCTAGTGGTCGTCCGCATATTCCCCGCGTAAATCTTCCAAATTTCGAGAAGCCGAACTGCAGAATGTCGGGACCGGTGTTGGAATGATTCTCACCAGCGATTTTAAATTAAGCTGCTACAAAAAAAAGAGAACAGTAACTTGGCACTGTTTTCCCCCCGTTGTGCGGTATTGCACGGGAAATGCCCTTCGCTTCCATTTTTTTCCGTAATGGCGGGAAGGCTTGCAAATGAAAAGCCGCAGCAGCCCACCTGCTTGGGCTCTCTCAGCCAGCCCTCTCCTCCTACATCCGAAAGGAGAATGGCTGGGTTGCTTTGCAAACGGGAGGATTTCCCAACGTCGAGGCTGCGGAATCTTCAGAAGCGCCTCAAGGCAAATCACAACGTTGCATTTTCTCTTTCGGGGATGGAGGTGGGATGGGGGGGACTTGTGCATATTGCCCTAAGCCTAAGAGGAGGAGAGCCGACTTTGAGAAGTCGGGTCATGATGGATGCCAGCCTCCCCCCCCCCCCCAAAAAAATATCTAAGGGAACTCGGAGAACTGCACGGTCCTCTTGAATTAGGGGATTGATCTAACGGAAAGCTTTGCCCTCCGACCGACGCGGGGTAGTTCCGCGCTTGCTAATCTGGAGGAGTCTCGGGCTCCCGTTTTAAACACGGCGGTTGTGGTTGCACTGCGCGCGGGAGCGCGCGCCGCAGAAAGCCATGCCGGAAGCAGCCGCTGAGGAGAAGGAAGAAAAGCGCCTTTTTTTTCTTCCTCCTCCCAGTCGAGTCCGCGTGACGAGATCATTAATGCAGTACTCGGTTTTCCCCAACCAACCAATTGCCGCGTGCTTCATTGCCGGATTCGGGGAAAGCCCCTCTGTCCTCGGGTGCTGTTTGCTAGAAAAGTATGTTAGTATGCTTCAGACGTGAGTTGTGCCTCGAGCACGCAAAAGGAAGGCACGAGTCGGAATTCGGCGCGGGAGCCGTAGATGAGCCAATCTGGTTCTAGTGGGGAAGGGTGCTGGCCCAGAAACCAGGAGGTGGTGAGTTCTAGTTCTGCCTTAACCGTGACTGTGAGGCCAGTCTCTCATTCTCAGCCCAACCCTCTTCACAGGGTTGTTGTGGGGAAAATAGGAAGAGGAAGGAGCATTAAATGTATGTTCACCACCTTGAGTTACTTACAGAAACAAAGGGATAAAAATAAAAGATAGAAAAGGAGTTGGTTCCGTCTCTCAAGGTAGTACGAAAATCTTGTGTCATCATTTGAGGTTTCCTCCTGAGTTTCGATATATTCATTAAAGGGAGGTTTCGAAATAAAGCAATGACTTGCTTGCTTTCAATTTTACTGTTGTGGAAGTGAGAGGATTCTCCGGAAAAGGCATCAAAAATTATCAGTGGAAAAATCAACTTGAATTGCCAGTGTTGTCTATTAGAATAATACGCCTTAAATCACAGTTTTATTACAGTTACAGTTTTATTACAGTTACAAGGAGGACCTAATATTAAAGGGGAGGGGGGAATGCCTAAGAAGAAGAGCAGTGGCATAAATTGCAAAGGAAGGGAGCAGACTCCCCTTCAGAGGGTCAGAAAAGTCAAGATGGTGGGCACCATGAAATCAAAGCCTTGCCCTTTCTACATGCATCAACAATTTTGATCATATGATTGGGGCCTACATCATGACACTCTATCTGCAGACACACTGGATTGATTTATTCAAGAGCATGCTGGACAGTCATCTTTCGGATACTTTCATTTGGATTTCTATCCTGGGCCCAGATTGGGCATAGTGTCTTTCCTTGCTTCTGTACTAGACACCTAGGCCTGGTTTTACAATATTTATAATATTATGTGTTTGTGTAAAGAAGGAATTGCCCAACCAGCACTTGTGGTCTTATGGGTAGTGTGATCTCCAATATTGGCCATTTTCAAAGCCCTGCTCTTCATTAGGCCAATTTAGAGTTGGAAGGGACCTTGGACAGGTCTTCTAGTCCAACCCCCTGCCCAAGCAGGAGACGCTATAGCAGGGGTCCCCAACCCCTGGGCTGTGGACCAGTACAGGTCCCTGGCATGCCAGCAACTGGCCGTGCAAAAAAGCGAAGCCCCATCTGTGGGATGCAGGCAACACCCAAAACCACGCCTCCTCTGGTCCACAAAAAAATCTTTCTCCATGGAACCGGTCCCTGGTGCCTGAAAGGTTGGGGGCCACTGCTCTATACCATTCCAGAAAAGCGGCTGTCTAGATCTGTGCCTTTTCACAGATTGTACTGCTTTTAGAATATGACAGTATTCGAGTACCACCAGTCACCTTGCAAGTTGTCAAAAACTTGATGACCAAGGAAAGTGATAAAGTACAGGTAGTCCTTGACTTACAACAGTTCACTTAGTAATTCTTCAAAGTTACAACGGCACTGAAAAAAGTGACCTACGACCATTTTTCACACCTATGACCTTTGCAGCATGGCCCCAGGGTCACATGATTTATATTCGGATGCTTGGCAACTGATTTATATTTATGATGATCGCAGTGTTTCAGGGTCACGTGGTCCCCTTCTGCAACCTTCTGACAAGGAAAGTCAATGGGGAAACCAGATTCACAACTGTATTACTAATTTAACAGGTGCAGTGATTCACTTAACAAATGTGGCAAAAAAGTTGTAAAATGGGACAAAACTCATTTAACAAATTTCTCACTCAGCATCATAAATTTTGGGCTCAATTGTGGTCGTACGTTGAGGACTATCTTTACACCCACTTACCACACTCTTAATGGGAAATTTGTGCCTCTTTCTCTGACATTAATCTTTGCAGTGTTCTATCCCCTTCTCTCCCTCTGCTTGTCTCAAAGAAGTCTTTCCTCTGTCTCTCTTTCTCTGTCCCCTTCTTTCCCCATAGTTTTTTTTTCTCTCCCTTTCCCACCAAAACCTCCTTTTATATCCTCTCCTCTTTCCCCCCTCCTCCTCCCAGAAGGGCCAATCAGCTGGAGTCCTGCACCAATCCAGGGCATTCAGCAGAGTTCCCACAGGCCTTTTTGGCACTGCCACTGTTTCAACTCATTCCTCTGCTACACTTGTACACTTTTTTTTTTTACAGTGCTTTTCAGTCGTAGGTGTACCACATGCCAGGTGCAAGCTTTGGAGCTCCCCAGAGGTTTTCCTCAGGCAAAATAGTAAACAAGGCAAACACAACGTGGCTGTCACTGGCTTCAGGTTACATTTGGGGTAGGGGCCAATTAGAAAATCCATAACCTTCAAGTCAGCTGGGTGACTTTGTGCTGGAGGCCTAGTAATTGGAGATCTCTCTCTCTCTCTCTCTCTCTCTCTCTCTCTCTCTCTGTGTGTGTGTGTGTGTGTGTGTGTGTGTGTGTAAAATTTCAGTTCTGTAGTTCTGTTTTCTTTTAAGGGAGAGGTTAAATATGGAAATGGAGAGACTCACAGAGCCAGTCTTGAGAAGTCCCTCAACTGCCCAAATATTGCCATTGAAAATCTCTCATTGTGCCACTGAATTGGTGTGATGGATTATGAAAGAGGTCACCTGGGGTTCACGTATGGGCTACTCACCCTAATAGAAAAGGGGAGCAGAGGTCAGAGTGATGAAGAAGGGTGATTACCCCCCCCCCAGGTTAGCAACCTGTTTTTAATCAACTTGGATAGACAGTTTTATTCTGATGAAACACTATACCAGTAGTAAGCTTGAATAATGGGGGAAAGGCCAAAGAGATAGTGAGGTGCCCTGGTTCTCTCCCTGTGCTCTGCAACCCAACCTTTTTCTGAGCAGGTGACTCAGCAGATAAAGAGATCAGTCTACAACATCCGCAAGACAGAGAATCTGGAAGGCAGCCTAGAATTTGCCTGTGGTTTCAAGTTTAGTAACCTGGGCTGTCCCCCCCCCCATCTTCTTCTTTGTCCCATCACTGATTAATAAAGGGCAGTCTTGTCTGCCCAGTCCCAACCAAACTGCAGCCTCACAAACGAAACAAAAGGTTAATATGGAGAAGATATAAAAAGCCCTGAGATTATGATTTAAACTGCTCAAGGGCTTAAAATGTTGCAGAAACAGAAATTCACTGTTTTTAAAACAAATTTATTATTTTTTTATTCAATCTTGAGGAAGCTCAGTCTCTTCCCGACCCCAAAATACTATTTATATAACCGCTCTGTTAAATTTGATTGAGAAACTATTAGGATGTTATAACATACAGAAAAAGATTAGTTAAAGTGTAGAGTCATGCAAAAATTCATGCTTATGGCTACTTTGTTAAAATATAGATGACCAAGCAGAATCTTTTAAGAATGACTTATTACTGTTCCTTGTTCAATTAATTTTTTTATACTGAATTCCCACATGAATAGCACATGGCAGTGCAGGAAAAAAGTTAAAAGAGAAACGTTTCAATATAATGAACAATAATATACCCATGATCATATTTTTGTTTTTAATTATATTTATAAATAAATAAGCATATGCAGTATACATCTATACATGTTGGAGGGAGAAAAAAAAATTAGGATTTACTGATGGAAGTCCTGAATGAAAAGATAGGCCTTCAGCGGAGCCCAGAAAGATGGAATAAGCATCCCCAAATATGAGCAAGGGATGCAGAGGTGACTGGCTGAGACTGCTGAAGGCGCCAGGCCTCTACTTTAGTGCTAGTGACACCATTGTCACTGTGCAGGTGGCCAAAACAACAGAAATGGCCGGAGGGGGAGTTTAAGAGGAGGCAAGGATTACTATCTTACCAAGGATTGAGGGATGGGAAGGACAAAGCAGGAATGGCTTGGATCTGGGAGGGTCCTCACCTAAACCCTGGTGGGATTCGGTTAACAACGGCAATGAGGACTGCTGTGATGGCCATTGCTAAGCAATGCAGTCACATGTTGCTGCGGTTTACAATAACATCATGTAGTGACAGAAATTTTGGTCGTTTTTAAGATGAATCACATCTTAAGTGAAAAGCTTTATATATCTGTTGTATAGAAACATGTTTGAGCAGAAATTCTGTTTCCATTTATCCAGAGGACTTCCTTCAAGGGCTAAGCTTAGCCTTTGGGCTAAGCTCAGGTCTTAATGGAGAGTGGGGGCTGCCAAGCCAGATGGGAAGCTGTGACTCTCTTAATGCTGCTGTAGCCCAGTTTCTTCTGGCTGAAATTTCTCGGAATTTGAAATAGGAAGGGCACAAATTATCTTCTCTTCTTGACCTCTCTGCGGTGTAGTTTGAATAGAAGTTACATGATGTTGTGGCCCAAATCTTTAGTGGAAAAATAGTCCACTTAATCAAATGCATTAAACATTTTCTATCTTCATTATGCAAATATGGAAAAACATTGGCTTGAACGAAAGAAGAGAGTTAAAGGGATAAAAAAAATAATCTGATTCCTAGTGGTGGTGCCCTTATAAGGGTTTGGGACTGTTAATGTTTTCTTCATAGCTGTTATTGAAGTGATCTCTATTGTCTTCTTCCAGGATTTTATAAACATTTCCAGTCTAGTCAACAGCTTTGGAATTCCCACATGGTACACCACCTAAGTATAAGCCAAGATTGTCACTATTTCTTTTCCAAGATCAGCCACAGTTGGCCATATTCTTGGAAGTACATACAGTACAGTAGCTTAAAACATAAAAAAAATTGAGAAGGATGAAATTGGTAATTCTTCCAAGTCTGGATACGCTAAATTATCCCAATTGCTTGGGTAAAGATTTTGGCAGGTTTAGAATGACTATATTCCATCAACTTTCATAAAGAAATATTGTAAGGGACATTGCCGTTAATCTTCCATATGTATTCTTGTTTGTAAACCTGCCTCCTTGTGGCGAAATCAAGATACAACCCTGGAAAAACTCTTTTAAGGCTTTGCAAACACAAGTACAGTAATCTTGGAAAAATGACCAGGATAGGAGAAATCACTCAGACTTTTTTTTTTTATGTTGACCCACATGTGAAAGAGGCTTCTACTTGAGCAGCTTGGAAACAGAGACTGTCCCCTCCTGGTAGAGGGGTAAAGAAGTCTTTATTTATGTGATAGAAACACAAGTGAAAAGACATAGAAAAGGGACGTTTTTATCACCTAGTAGCTGCGAAATTTGATATCTGCTTGTCATCTGCTATGAATATTTTGATCACATATTGCTTTTTTATTGTGGATTATGAAATTGCTAACTATTTTGTATCATTCTGTGAAATGTGTATGCATTAAGGAGAAAAAAGAGTAGTGTCTCCTTCCGATCCCTCAGCTCCTGGTGATTATTTGCAGTCATCCACAACTATATTGGCAACAATATAAAAGTGGCTTGCATCCCAGTGCTATCTTCACAATCTACCCTAAAGCTCTAATATTTTCTGATGGTCTCATATTCAAGTCCTCAGCAGTTCTGATCCTTGTTAGCTTTTCAGATCAGTCAAGGTATCATAAATCCTCAAGTAATGGTGTGGGGGAAAAAAGGAATTGGGGAGACCCTACTGCAGACATGTCAAACACAAGGCCCGGGGGCCGGATGTGGCCCGCGAAGTGGTTTCATGTGGCCCGCGAATCCATCCTGGAAACAGTGAGGGAATGGCCTCCGCTGCCTTGGCCCTGGCCCAGGCCAGCCGGGAGTCAATGTACAATTTTGTGGTGGCCATCTTGGCACTAGCCCTGGTGGACCATGCCTTGGCACTTGCCCCGGTCCCACTCCCTTCTGCCAAGAGACCCTCAGATCTGTCCTACCCAGGCCCCCAAAGGCATCCTTGATCCGAATGATGTGGAACTGGCCACCCCCACCCAGTAGGCCACATCCACTCCATCCACGCCCACCCAGTAGGCTGCACCCACTCTGGCCACACCCACCCAGCCCACCAAGGGCAACCGCAATGCTGATGCAGCCCTCAGTGAAATTGAGTTTGACACCCCTGCCCTAGTGGGAAGCCCTCTTCTTTCAGCTGTTAAATTTACATGGGTACTGCCAGGAAAAAAAATAGCTGACAAGCTTCCTTTCAGTTTGAGGTTTACTTAGTAATATTTTACTGGGTTTCTGCATATATAAAACTGGTACCACTAAAATGGATGGGAGGGAATAAATTGATAATATAGTTAAAGCAGCAAAGAAAAAGAAGTGAAACATGTCTCCAGCCTTCCATTTAGGGCAAGATTGTTGAAAAGGTGGTCAGACTGAATTTCAGAGGGCCTGGAAGAAATGGATCATTTGGATCAATTTTATTTGAGTTTCAGGCCAGGGCATAGTACCAAAAGGGCATTGATTGCACTTGTGGATGACTTCTGTTGGGGCCAGGATAGGGCTAACTGTTCTTGTTTTTCTTGATTTCTCAGTGACCTTTGATACTATTGACCATAACCAGCTACATGGTTCGGGAACTGAGAGGCCCAATGTTGCAGTGGTTCTCCCTTCATCACGGCTGATTCCAGTCAGTGTTGACAGTAGAGAGCTGGAGCCTGCGATCCCTAACCTGTAGGGTGCCCACAAGGCTCAACTCGCTTGATTTTCTTTTTTGTAAAAAGTATTTTTTATTGAAGATTTTTTTTACAAAGTAAAAAGATAAACATGAAAAATATAGAAGTAAGAAATATACAGTGCTGAGAAAAAGAGAAACCAAAGAAGCTACTTCCAATCTTCTCTACAGCAGTTATATACCTAATACTGTTCCCCTCTTTCAATTCATCCCACACACAAGCCTTTTTAATCGATATATAAATCACTTTTCAAATAAAATCAAATCATTTTTATCAATTTTCAGCAAAAAAAGTCTAGTGTTTTTTTATATATATAAAAGTAGTTGTTGCTACCACTCTAATCAAACAAGTTATTTTAGCAATTTCTGCAAATTCCACCATCTTCACAGTCTACTCTGTTGTGGCTATTTCTGTGTTCTTCCATTTTTGTGCCTATAATAATCTCACTGTTGTTACCACATATAAAATCAACTGTTCATGAATATTTTCTAATAGACTTTTCATAAGTCCTAGTAAAAAAATTGTAGTTTCAATAATTTTGACTCTCTCGTTTAACATTTATATAAAACCTCTGGGCAACACTATCCATTGAGGCCATGTTTGATCAGTATGATGATGATGATACTCAGCTGTATTTCTCAACCCCTGGTGTTGCAGTCAAGACCTTTTCCCAGCAATTGGAAGCTGTTGGGTCTAAAGCAGGGGGAGGGGAGGAACCTTGACTTTTACACAGATTATATGTTACATATAATTGGAACCCTTTCCTGGAATGAGAGCTTCTCATAGTTACTTATGTCATGGTCACCTTGTGCATAGAGTATTGCAATGTGCTCTACATGGGTGTGCTCTTGAAGACCACATGTAAGCTGTGGCCAGTCCAGAATGTAGTGGGGTGAGCAATTATGAACCCATCAGTGTGCACCTGTTAACACTTCTGGCATTTGAAGTATTCTGAACGGAGTTCAAGGTGCTGGTTCCCACCTATAAAGCCCTTCATGACACAGGGCCTGAATATTTGGCAAGAAGGGTATGTTGTGGACCTTGTCAGCCAAAGAATTCTGATTGGTAGGGTCCAGTAATAAGAGCCTCCTCTGCTGTTGCCACCATTTTGTGGAACAGTCATTGCCCGGCCTTCAGGAAAGGTGTTAAAATGTGGCCCTGCCATCTTGCTTAGGGTGCAGAGCATTTGTCTGTGGGACTGATTAGCGCCTGAAAGCCCTCCTTCCACTTTTAACATTGTCTTTTTAAATTTTATATACATAAATATTTTTAATATTTTGTTTGTACACTACCCAGAGTCCTTCTGTGAGGAAGATGAGCAATTTTAAAAGTTTGATAATAAATAAAAATTTCTCCTTGTTGCAGAAGTTTCAACAGAGCAGGTATACTTTGTGTGTGCATTAAGCACAGTCTCTGATGGGACTCAGAGAGTGCATTTTCTCTTTTATAATGCCTGCCCTTCAGAGTAGCATCTCTCCAGAGCTTCAAGCTGTTCTGACTGTAACCCTAGGGTGATGATGATTCTATGGGTCAGGTCTTTCCACATCTTTCGATCTTGCACTGCTTCTTCAAGTTTTTCTATGCTCTGGCTGGTGTCAGCTTTGATGGTGTCCAGCTACCAAGTTCTTTGATGGCCTGGTTTCTTTTACCACTAACACTTCCAAGTTTGTTCCAGTTCCCCTCCTTTGACGTGGCCAAATAAGTGAAACATAGTTTTGTGATTTTTGCCTTCCTATTGACAAGGTGTTATGCACTCCAGTACTTGTTTGTTATGGTGTTATGCACTCCAGTACTTGTTTGTTAGTCACCTTTGCTGTCCAAGGAATAGACCTTAGGATACCACTGCAGATTAAAAATGTTAATATAAATTTGTTAGCTACTTTCAGTGCTGTTGTGGAAAGGCAGGATAAACATATTTTGAATAATTAAGGAAGTACTGAACACCAAATTGAAGTTGCATTCTTAATTTCTAGACCATTCTTTATCACTGTGGATTAAGAAAAAAACATGCCCTCTGTAGTCAAGATGTCATGTTCTTCATGAAACTGGAAATCAGAATGATAGCGGGAAGAGTACAAATAGGCCTGCCCCTTTTTTACCCAGTGAGGAACTGGGTCTTACTTACCACTAGACCAAGAGCCGTGGTGGCGCAGTGGTTAGAATGTAATATTGCAGGCTGACTCTGCCAACTGCCAACAGTTTGATCTTGACCAGCTCAAGGTTGACTCAGGCTTCTAGCCTTCTGAGGTCAGTAAAATGAGGACCCAGATTGTTGGGGGCAATATGCTGATTCTGTAAGCTGCTTAGAGAGGGCTGTAAAGCATTACGAAGCAGTATATAAGTCTAAGTGCTATTGCTATTTGGCTACCTAAAATCTACCGAATTCCTAACAACCAAAGCAAATTCTGGAGAGGGTAAAACAAGCCATCTACTCTTGCACAGAATTTCTTGGACTTTTGCAAGAACTCCTGGAATTTGACTTCATTGGTTTTCTGCAAGATTGGACAAGAAGCACCTTTTCTTTATGGTAATGGTATATGGTAATGGTATCGGTTGATTCAAACAACAACTGGAGCTCTACTGGTAGTATCAAAACCCTTAGAGTTTTCTCCTTTGCATATTATTCTGCTATCTCTCAAAGGGAATCCTATTCCCAATCCTGTTAATACACATAAATCTGTGAATACAAGAAAAGAGATGAAAGTCTCTTATAGCTGAGTCCCATAGTATATATCAACTGCAGGCTTTCTTGTTTGGTCTTGTGGCCAAACCTGGAGTGAGATGCAGTAGTACTGAGTTTCATTTATTTTATTTTTCTCCCACTGTTGTTATTGTTTATAAATAACTCAAAGCTGTGACATACCTAATCCTTCTTCCTCTTCCTATTTTCCCCACAACAACCACCCTGTGAGGTAGGTTTGGCTGAGCGTGACTGGCCCAAAATCCCCCAGCCAGTTTTCCATGCTTAAGGCCAGGAGTAGAACTCATGGTCTCATGGTTTTCTAGCCCGATGCCTTAACCACTAGACTAGACCAAACTGTGCCATTGTTGAATGTGAAGGAAATGAAGAGAGTCACTTTTTTTAAATTCAGCTGAATGGGAAGTAATTTACCTCTTGGGCAGAATCCAGCCTGCCAGGTTTCAGTAAAATTGTTTCAGAACGTTTTCAGTTACTCTTCCTTAAAATCTGGCTTTTTGTCCATGAGGGGGATGTGTCTATAGCTCTGTTGTTTGGGGATATAATTTGTTTTTAAAATGTAGCAAATGTAGTCTTTCCTGTGGGGAACCACTGCCAAGTTTCAGACAGATGGATTTTGGTGCAAATGGAAGTGATTATATCAATGTTTATTAATGACTCATCACTTGTGTAATAGAAGGACTTGTACTGAAAGATGTTCCCTTTCATTACATCCTTATCCAGCCCTGCGAGCAACAGATAACCAGAGGGGCTGGACTTTTACTGCCACAGACTTTCAGTCTTACAGCCAGGTTAGAAGTAAAAGATCTTATGCCTGGGTAGCATAAAAAGGAAAATAAAGTCTGAATTATTGGAATGTTTATTCCAATCCACATGAAGCTGTAGGTGAGGATAAAACTCTTCCTGGGTGATTAAGCACCAACATAAACAGGATGTTGATAGAACTATATAAGACAGCACAGAAAAGAGATTGTATGGATGAAATTACCAATAAATCTAAACAACTGAGTCAAAAGGGGAGGGATACTAATAACAATAGTAATAAAAACAAGAAGTTGGTTAAGGAAGGCCGAAATGTCTAATATTAGTAGGTCTTCCATGAAAAAAGAATCAAGTGAATTAGGGGAAATTTTCTGGAGGAGGAAGCAATCAATTCCATAACATTTTAAAAACCACTGAACACAGTGAGCCAAAACAGGCCGTAACTTGAACAATATGCCAAACTGCAGAAGGAAGAAACCTGCAGAGCAAATCAGGCAAGTCCCCAGTGGACTTGCAAGTACTCCTGTCTCCTTCAGTACCATCAGTTGTTTGAGAAAGCATTTTTTCTTAAACCACACCCCCCCCCCATTTCCAAAAATAGAGGAAAGGACCAGATTGTTAGGAATGTCCAAATCTGGACTGAAGCTGAATGGACTGGGCCCACTTCCTTCAAGGCAGAGGTCTTCAAACTTGGCAACTTTAAGACTTGTGGACTTCAATTCCCAGAATTTCTCAGCCAGCCATCCAAAAGATCTTACCAAAGTACCTCGCTCTTCTGCTTCCTATGCACAACGCTTGTGGGTCTTCAGGCAGATTCTTGGAAGTTAAACTTTGATCAGGTTTAGCAGATCAGATTACATGAGGAAGGAATAAAGTAACAGCCTATTCTCCATGGAGGGGAGACTAGCAGTTTACAATGTCTTAGAACATTTTTTATGTCATAAATACACAAAACACAAAGTTGTAGAATATTGCAGTAATAAATATTGAGGTAGCTGCCAAGTGAAGCCAGTCTCACAAGGGCAAACACTTAACAAAAACTGCTCAAAGTGTTTCTCTGCTCTTCTCCAGGAAGCCTTCCACCAGCACCAGAATGGATTGGCAAGGACAGGTGAGGGATCAGGGTAGGCTCAAGTTGCTGTCACTCTTAAACTGCAAGAGTCAGGTTTGGGTAAAGGCTTTAGATGTGCCTCATAATCAGGCCTGCAAATCTGATTAAGGACAACTATTAATTTAAAAGTCTCACTAACAATTTAAAAAAAAAATCTCCAGTAAATCAGTAAGGCTAACCACAAGCCAAGAATCATGTGTTTTAGAAAGGTCAGCCTTTTTTATTTTTGTTTCCATTTTAATTATTATCTATGACTTTAAAATGTTTATATAGTTCTTGAATAAATAGGTTATTAAAAAAAAAAGAAAAACATTTCTGCAGAGGGGAAACTGATGGATTTTGAGATAATCTGGTTCCAGGCTGGGGCACTAGAGCAGAGGGATGCAACCAAAATTTTGCTTGGTCAAAAACAGCCACTTGGTTGTAATTTTTAATGTGACTGAGGGGGAATATTATGAAATACATGTGGGGTAATTATATAGCTTTCATCTGATTCTATTAAAGCTTGAGTGAAATGCATTTTAGTTTTAAACCTCTTCCTTTTTTATTCTAGCTTCGCCCACTTTAATAATCTGTTACACACACACATACTCACTTCACACACCATTCAGATACTTGGCTGGTCCTGCAGCTCTATACAATAGGGACCCTGAGGGTTTCCAAATTCCAATTAAGTTTGGAGAGAAATGAGGGAAAATGCTTTCCTCGGGGTTCTGCTTCAGCTCAGAAGCAATGGGAGATGAAGTTGTTTGGAACTTCGTCTCCTCCAGGATGCTCTCTAGCCATCTCAAAAGTTAATCCCACTGCAATTAAGGGACCCATTCCCACAAAGATGTAGGATTTGCTGCCTGAAGATAACATGGATGGCGATAGACTTGCTTGGAGTAATTTAAGGGAAATCTGAAATCAAATTCTTTGATTATGTCCTGTTCCTGTTAGGGTGCTTATTCTGGTTTTGGGGAAATGCATTCCCATTTTCACTACTTCTGCCTTGGAGTACTTAAAGAAACAATGTCATAGAATTAACTCCTCAGCAGAGAAAATCTCAGTGTGAATAACCTCTTCGTGTTTTGTTGCTTTCCAGGATGTTGGGATTATTATAGGATAATGGCCTTCCCCAGTAACAGGTGTTCTTGTCTGTGCATATTATTTATATATGCAAGTTGTTAATCCTGTTGTAATATTTCAAAAGCATTTGGTCAATGTGCCAATTGTAATTACATCTGAAGCTACAAGGTGATCCCTACAAGCAATTTGCCATTAATAGCCATAACCTGCAATGAAAGTTTCACAAGAGGGCACATCATGTGATTGTGTACTTCTGTTGCTCTTTGGTCTCTGGTGGTGTTAAAAACAAGGGGAGGTCAACTCTAGTCCATTGGGGTAGTTCTCCCTCCTCCTCCTCCTCCAGATACAACTTTCTCATTTGAGAGGGGAAACTGTTAGTTCCAGATTGGGCCTTGCCTAAGATGCCTTTGACATCATCACAGGGAATCAAACATCTACCGTAGAATGAGGGAGAAGAGCTTGCTCTGCTCTGTTTTAGGAAGATAGCGAATCTTATCTATTGGACTACAGCCCTACCCCTGCTTGCTACAACTCCACAACTGGGAGCCCAACAGATATGTCCTAGGGCAGGGGTGTCAAACTGCCGGCCCGCAGGCCACTTGCATCATACGGAGGCTGCACCCACCCCAGTTCCGGCAATACAAAAAAAGTCACGATATGTCACGTGACATGTCATGTGATGCAGTGAGTTTGACACCCATGTCCTAGGGGAATACTACCCTTCATAAAACACCGTCTACCTACTTTGGATTTTAAATCTTAGAACTAGTTCAGAGGTGAAAATCAATTTGGATAAAAGAAAGGAGGCTGCCCAATTGACCAAATTCTACTTTGCAATTCAGGACAACCAGCCTCAGCCCCCACCGCTATCCCACTGCCAATTGGACTCCTCTTTCCAGGCCGGATACCCAGATGCCAATCAGTCATCCCAACCTAGTCAGTTGTTTCTTCCCATCCTATTTCCTGCCTGCCATGTCTGAAAAGCAGCAGGGGAGAATGGGATCAGGCATATGGCTAGAACTGAACCCATCGGAATGAGTATTAGGGCTTTCCAAAAGTTTTGACAAAGTCCCTCACTTTGACAATGGTATTATTGAGTTGGCTGAGGAACTGTCAGTTTCAAAGACAGGCTCTCTTTTGCCATTGATAGGCAACTAGCTGAAGGACAGGAAAGACAGTAGGAATCAATGGGCAGCAAGCTATTACTTGGAGAAGTAAGAGGACTCTCACGGGTGATTGATTTTTAATCACTGTTTTCTTTTTTGTCACTGAAACTGGCACTGCCTATAGCAGTTCTATAAAAGCTGCATTTTGCTGAAAATAGGAAATATAGAAAAATATGAAAAATTGCATTTCTTTCTCCAGTGAAAAGATATCTCTCCTTCTAAAGAATTTGAATATTCCGAAAAGTATAGTTTAGGTTTTGTATCCAATATGTCTATTCTGGATTAAATCTTTATTTTTTTAAATTCAGATTCTGTTGATATTCCATTTGGAAAACACTAGATTTACCTCAGTTTGCAAGGATCTACCTGCAATGTTCATCTAGAGCAGCGGTTCTCAACCTGTGGGTCACGACCCCATTTGGGGTCGAACGACCATTTCACGGGGGTCCCAAACAATGCAGTGCGCCATTTTTTCCCCTTTTTCCTTAGCTGTGCTACTCCCTTTTATTCTATTGGCTTTTGAAAGCCAATAGAATAGACTCTCTTGAATAGAGTCTAATTCTATTGGCTTTCAAAAGCCAATAGGAATTGTCCAGGCTGTCGCCCGCCAAAAGTCCCATTCTGCAAACGGTGCTGCAAATTGTCTGCAGCGAAGGCGAGCTGTCTGGAAGTTTTCACCCCTCCCTGCTGAGCAACTACTGAAAATGTAAGTAAAAGAGGGCCAGGGGTGGGAGGCTGGTGGGCACAGGGAGGGTTGCTGACGCACGTGGGGCCCGGTGGGTGCCTTACCTCCCTTGGGCTGGGCCAGCTGGTGGTCACCCTGTGCCGTTGCTGCCCCTTGCCAGCTACGCCTCGGCCGGCGCAGGGGGCGGCACCATGCATGTGCGGTGCTCCCGGGCAGGGAAAGTCCTCGACTTACAATCGGTTGGGTAGTCCTCGACTTATGACCGGTTGGGTAGTCCTCGACTTACGAGCAGTTGGGTAGTCCTCGACTTACGACCGGTTGGGGGGTCACGGCATTAAAAAGGTTGAGAACCACTGATCTAGACATGTGTGCATATGGAGGGGTTACTGAACCTAGTGTTGCATTAGGGCCCTCAATTCCTTAAATACACCTGATGCTGTAATTAGCACAAATGGGACTCTGCATACCTCTTATCAATCCAGATGCTTCTTCTCACATCATTTGCAGCTTGCCTATTTGGGTACCCATTGGTGATGATGCACTACACTTTGGGCCTCAAGACTAGCCCTGGCTGAAACACACTTTTTAAAAAAGGCTTTGTATAAAATGAGTTGAAAACATGTCTAATAACAACACAATACCCCAACTCCAAAGAACTGATTGTCCAGTTGCAACAGAACAGCACAACAGGTTTGTGCAGCTTGAACATCAAGTTAAAGGTCATCTTTTGCTGTCACTAAAAATAAGCTACAATGGAAGGTTCAGGGGAGGGAGGTGTTCTCTTGAAAGTGACTTCCACAGAGTGGTCTCACAATGAAGCCTACTTGGTTACAACCATCCTACAATCCTAGCCTCTTGTTTTTTTAAGATTGGACAAAGAGGGTCAACCACACTGCAGAGCTTAACAACCCACCCTGTTTATATGAATTCTGGCTTTCTGAAAGTATCTTGAAGGAATGAAGCATATTTGATTAAGCAGAATTAGTCTGCACGTATTAGTTTATAGAGAAAGGATACAGATTGAAGTACATAAGGGCCCCAAGTCTTTTTTCAGACTTTCAGAAGACATGGCTATTTTAAAGAGCTGCTGTGCTTGTAAAACCCTACATTTTAAAGCACCTCTTCTCAATCATTTTGAAAATATGCACAGCCCTAAAATCTATCCCAGAAGTCCCCAAGTGAACAAGCATATATCCTTATCAGCTCTTGGTTTATTTTGGGAACCCAGAGGCAAGGATAAACCCTTCAGTGTTATCTTCCTTCACACATAACAAATCAAAGGTGGAGATGTATGTCACATCATGTCCTGGAATTTAGGTCTATTTCCCCTGTTATTTTCAGTAGCAGGTTAATGCATTGTTCCAGGTCCTTCGGTCTTAAACAAAACCATTCTTACATAGCCTTCTGATTGCCAAACTAGTCTGAATAGTATCTTTTACATTTATTTTTAGAAACGTGACAGTAGGGATGTGCCACAACCTGCTGGGCATGTGATTACATCTGAATTGAATGTTGCAATTAATCCTTTCTATCTCTTCTATCACCTCCTCCTCCTCTACACTTGCCTCGTTCTAGTACACATGCACTGACATACAAGCCAAGAAGCCGGAGAGGAATATTCACATAGTCCCAACGGATTAGCTTCCAGATGCTTGGAGAAGTTCCACATATCTGCATATCTATATACTTAGCTTAATCCTGAGTCTGGGCCACCACCTGGCATTTGGAAATCTCTAGTACAGGTCCTGTGGGGATGAAAGGAAGATATGTAACAGAAGGCTCCAGCCAGAGCAATGTCCTCTATCTTTCTATCCATTGTGTATGTTAAAATTCACGGCTACTGTCTTTACCATATTAATATTAAAATACAGTATGATTGACTTTTAAAAGGATCTCACAGTCTTTGGGGATTAGCAGACTGGATACCTAGTCCTTCAGAGGTTAAAAGCAGTCCTTCAGTTCATTTCATATGCATCAGATTTCCCAACCTTGACAACTTTAAAATATGTGGACTTCAGCTCCCAGAATTCCAAGGTGCCATGCTGTCTAAGGAATTCTGGAAGTTGAAGTGCACATATCTTAAAAGTTACCAAGGTTGGGAAACCTGATGTACTTGTTTACATGTTCCTTACATTCAAATGTTTATAACTTTGGCTCTCCACATCAGATCCTGAGCTTGGGACTCTTCTTTTAAGAACTGGGTTTGTTTAAACATCAAACACATGCTAATTGAGCAAGTAACATTTCCTCCCCGTTTTACTTTCTTCAAATGGCTTCTGCTTAAGCCCTGTTCCTGCACCACACCCTATTTCTAAACAATTTCACTTATCAGATTCCAAGGACCTCAGGCATTTAAATATACATAAAAGAAAGTCTCTCACATAACTTTGAAATATGTATGAAAAAAAACTCAATAAAAAACCCCTTCAATCACTGTCAGCCTCTCCCATATAACAGGCACAATAACAGCAGCTTCAGTGATCATGTATACATGCATATTATCGAGATATCACAGATCAAACTCCCACAATTAATGGCAAGACTCAGCTTCATGTAAAGCTTAAATGGGATGATTTTCTTTTCATGGTTAAGACAGCCAGGCAGGAAAAAAAGCATGCATCTGAGCAATTTTGTTAAGGTGTCCACATGTTGTGAAATAATATATGATCAGTACTCAGCGTAGTTATGCGGCTGACATCCTATTTTGGATGAAAAGGTATGATGTTGATGTAGATAATCCATCTGTTCTCGAAGGACAGAGGATTTTCTTTAACTCAGGTTGTCTATCTTTTTAGCTTGGATCGTCTAGGGTGATCAATAAAAACAAGCCAGTTCTCAAGCAGAAAACTTCCCTCCAGCAATTCAATTTTTCTAGCTGCAGAATGCCAGAAATTGAACCTGCCCCTTCCGCCTGGAAAACTTGCTCAGAAGCACCTGTGTTTTAGTTTGTACATGACTTGCCCTTGGAACAAGTGCAGGGGATAAGCTTTCTTGCAAGTTGATTATCCATGTTCAGAGTGACAGACTGATTTCCATTTAGTTGCATTTCATTTTTACTCCTGACTTTCCATTGAAAAAAATATATATACAGGGTTGCAACTGGATCTCTGAATGTCAGGACTGGGCAAGAACATTGCCAGAAAGAGATTAACTGGTATGACTCAAACATATGCAGGTATAATGGGTGCAACAGGGTTGGGGGATGTGGGTGTGTAAACGTGCTCCACCCCTATTTTCCCATGCAGTTTCTGTACTGATCTTTACACTGATCCTCACACTGAGTCTGGAAAACCTGCTTATCTAGTTCTCCAGTCATCAGTCAGGGCTGTAATGCAAGTATGTATGATCATATCTCCCAAATCTACATGTTTGCAGGTGGATGCTTTTAGGCATGTTTTAATGAAAATTAGACGGAGTTTAAAATGGTTGCATGTTCAGTATTTAAGAAGTTGAGTACTTGAGGGCTAGGAGTCTTCAGTACTAGAGCTACAAGGGATGGCCCTTGCAAGTTGACCACTAAAGATCAAGCAGCATTTCTCAAACCTGCTCATATTAAGAGAAGGATCAGTATGGTAAGCTTAGATAGAAAGATCAAGTGACATAGTGACATCTTGTTGATACTTGTTGATTTTTGGAGTGCATAGATGTCTTGGTTCTTCAGATACACTGAGATTGTAGCTCTTTAATTTCCAATCAACATTCTGGCTAGAAAGTTAAAAACAGTTGTTCCAATGCATTTGCAGGATGCCAAGAGGGGGACCGCTAATCTCATCATTTTAAAAGCCATCTGATACCAATGAGTCTTGGCTTACAGATTTACTTTATGCTGTACATTCAGGATACTTCTGTCAGCCATCCTTGGTTAGAGTCCAACCCATTAAGTGACATTTATGCACAATAAAAAAGCCAATCTTAAAACATTAATCACTTGGATCAAAACAGCAAAATAACTAAGGTTATCTTAAAGGCAGGCGTCTTGTCTTGTAGGTTTTCCAGTTTGCTGTCTCAGATGCATGAAGTTTTGCTCTCCTTTGCCTAATCATACCTTGGATACAGAGAAACCAATTAGAGACACGAGATTAAATGCCCATGAAAAGCATGAGACATAGCTAATAATATTTCAGTGTAAAACTTAATTGAATACAGTGGTAATTATGGCAGTGATGTTGATTGATGTCTACAGCAAGTGGTAGAAAAGCTCAGTAGGGATTGGATAGCATTTATGAGAGGAAACCACCACAAATCTCAGGGCTTTAGCCTCAACTGGGAAGTAAAAAGATGTTCTGGAAAAATGTAATGGCATACCACTTCTGTACTGTTACCAAGAAAACTACGTAGATGCAACTCCTTAATCACCAGGAATCAAGGACATCTAAACAGACACATTACCTTTAATTGGTGACAAATTACATCTTAGTTATGCTATGTTCATTCTTATTGTTTTCCTTCCTAGCATTTTCCCATGAGTTCAGGGTTGATCTAGCGTTGATCTATTGGTTGCGAAAGGAATTGACTGACCGTCTTGTCATCAGAGCCTGAGGTCATGGGCTAGAAGAGAGTGACTGGCCTAAAGTCACTTAGCTGGCTTTCATGCCTAAGGTGAAACAGTCTCCTGGTTTCTAGACTACTGTCTTAAACCACTAGACTCAAAAGGCTCTCATCCATATATATTTTTACAAGGGAGAAGCTATGGTCAAAGAGTAGAATCAAGTTTGATACTGGATTCTTACATAACTCCTCTGCAATATCTGTTTCATATAGCTACTGCTCTGGTTACCTATGAGAAATCTCTGGAAACAAAATGTGCAACATCCCTATCCCTTTTTGTTAGGTTAGGCAGCCCCACTGCAATTGGGGCACACATATTCATAAGCATAGGCATTCCTTGATTCCTGATTCAAGCAGCAACTGATTTTATGTTTAATCTAGCTGAAGGTATGTCCTATCTAAGGGGGATGTGGAAAAATGTACAACAATATACAGTAAACTCAGCACTTAAAATACTCAATCAGCAGCAATGAGAAAAGGCTAACAATATACCTAGCAATAAAATGGTCAAAATGTTATGGGCTAAAAAGTGAAGAGAGAAAAACAGTAATGCAGCAAAGTAGAAGGAAATCAAGTTGTACATCTAGCAAATTTCCTGGAGCAAATGTATAGAAATTTAGATGCCTTTAGCTGGTTACAGGTAATTTACTTTAGATGTCTTATAATGCAGAATATAGTTTGAATGTACCGTAACCAATAATTCTAGTTACATGAGCATAAAGGACAGACCAAGGGCCTTCAAATACAAGTAGTCCTCAACTTACAACCATTTGTTTAGCAATTGTTCGAAGTTACAACAGCACTGAAAAAAATGACAACTAGTTTTTGCACTTATGACTATTGCATCATCCCCAAGGTTACATGATCAAAATTCAGGCAGACAATTGACAATGTATTTATGATGGTTACAGCATTCTGAAGTCATGTGAACAACATCTGATACCTTCCCAGCTGGCTTCCAACAAAGCAAAGTCGGTGAGGGAAGCTTAATGACCACATGATTTACTTAATAACTACAATGATTCACTTAACAACTACAAAAAAAAACTTTATAAAATCAGGCACAACTCACTTAACAGCCACCTTGTTTAACAACAGAAATTCTGGTCACAATTGTGGTCATAAGTCAAGGACTATCTGTACCATATTTATTGTAGAATTTATCAGCAACCATCCTCAGTCTCCCGCAGGGCCAATGGGAGTAGGAATCAGTGACTTCTTAAGAACCACCAATTTTCCAGGTGAAAACAAGCTGTTAGAAACTGCAACACAACTCACTACTGTTATTACTATTACTGTTGTTGTTCTTACTATTCATATTTATAGTCCTCCGGCCGTTTAAATCAGTCTCGAAAGCACTCTCCCATGTTTCCCCACAACCACCACCCTGTGAGGAAGGGCAAAGTAAGCTTCTATAGCTGAGAGTGAACTAAGCTTTCCCGTCTTATTCCAATAGCTGAACCACTACATTATTTTATCGGGTTTTACTAGGGAATAAACCTATTTAACCAACTGGCCTCCTTACTAAAGGAGTAGTTGCCAAACTGGCTTCTGTCCCTATGTTGTACTCAGCCGATCAGGAGATCTGATCCAAGGCACCCATAAGGTAAGGCTGTAGAGTTGGCCCTAAAAAAGCTGAAGGCCAGAGAGCCGGCGGCATTACTTGGCTGGGCCTCACAGGGTGGATTATGGGAGCTGTTGTCTAGCTCATTTAGCTGAGGGGAAAAAACCCACATTGCTCATGCCCTGCGTTTTGCTTGTGCTGACAAGAGAACGAGCGGGCGAACTCGTGCGAGGCCGACTACTGCGTCTTTGGAGTTTGCCTTCTAATCCAAGTCATTCTTGGCTCTGACCTCTCCTGGAAAAACCGCGAAGCTGCTGGAAATTCGCTACCTGTCACGGTCCCCGAGTTCGAAGCACCGCGGGTCTGACTCAGCAGAAGGCAACCGCGAGGCTCCCTTGCAAGGTGCGGAAGGAACAGCGGCACCATCGGGGCAATCGCCAGACCAGCGCGCCCGGCGGAGACCCGACGGTAAACTTGGTCGTCGCCGCCGCGCTGGCTTCTCTTAACAGCACTGAGCATAAACGGCGCCCGCCGCGTTGCTCGGTTTTGCTGCGGGGAGAAGACCGAAGGGGCGGGGAGGGGGGCGGGGGAGACATTCAATCGTCTGGCTCTTTATGGAAATCAGCTGTAACCACTAGGGGGCCGTCTTTCTCCTTGCTTGCGCCTGCAAGGTAGGAAGAAAGAAAAAAAGCCCTGATCTGAATGCTCAGCTGGTTGCGGAGGGAGAGGGGCGGAATATGGGCGGCGGGACGTGGGGTGGGGAGACACCGTCGGGAAACCCAACGGCCGTGTCAAGATCGGGCCGAAATTCCAAAGCGGAGGCCTTGCGAGCGGCTCGAGCCGTTCCTTTCCGAGCTGGGATATTTTTTTGGGGGGGGGGGCGGGCAGGGAAGGCAGTCCATTATTTTGGATGGTGGCGCTAACCCTGTAAATCTGCCAAGCGAAATTGCACCATCGGAGCGGTCTAACTTTAGTGGGTGGGGACGAGGGTGCTTCCTTAAACAGCCCGGAGAAGGAGAAGAGCGGAGGGAACCGGGTAGGGGCGCGCTTCTTCTTCCTGGGCGGCGGCTGCTGCTGCTGCTGGTGTCGTCGCCGTCGCCACTACTCCTCTTGCTCAGCCCAGCCCAGCCCAGCCCGCGCTTCTGGATCTATCGCCTAACACGTGGGGGCTCTTTTTTGCGCGGCGGAAACTTTCGAGGGCTACTTTGCTTGCCCACTTAGACACACGCGCTCGGGGACAGCGGCGTGGGACTCTCGCCGTAGCATTGCGGGTGGTAGAATCTCAGCTCCACGCGGATCCAGGCGCCTCTTTTCGGCCGGGGGGTGTGTGCCTCCCTACCTTCTCCCGCGATTGGAATTCCGCCCTTCCGTTACTGACTGACTCTCCGGGGCTCCGACCGATCGCCCCCCGCCGCCGCTCCCTTTTCCTAGCACTGAAAAATGTGGCCGGCGAGTCTTTTCCACGAGCCCGCTCTAGTTTTCCCGAGGGGTGGGAGTCTGCCCCCCTCTCCCCCGTGCCTGCCGTACCTCCTCGTTTTATGCCGTCCAGTGTAACTCAAGACCTGGCTAGGACGAGGGAGGACAAGCAAGTTAAAGCCACAGGAACGCGCAGGGGTTGCTGGCTGTCACCCCTGACAGAAGGTAAGTAGGGAAGGGAAGGACCGACCGGCCGAGTACGCACGCGTGTCCTCGGAGCTCCTTTGCAATGGTTCGGCTCTTGTCAGTTTCATCGTGCTCGCGGGCTGCCGTGAATCGTGGGGCCTTTAAATCCCCAGGCTTTTTTGGGGGGAGGAGGGGGATCAATCTCGGGCGCGTTCGATCGACCTCTCCGCGGGGACATCGTTTCCTGGGGAGCCGTTCGATTGTCGTGATGGGCAGGGCGGCTGTTTTGCAAGCGGTGGGGTGGCGTGCGCAGGTTCCCCGGGCAGACCCGAAGCTGCTTTTCCACACGTTCCTACAGATCCTCCCCTCCCTTCCCCGTTGGAAACCTACTCGGGTCAGCATAATTCTTTCCTTTTTCTTTTTCAAGGCGCATTTCCAAAAGGGCAGAAGCTAGTTGGCAGTTAAGGTACACTTGGCTTTTAAATCCGCCAGCGAACCAAAACGGGGCTAAAATGGAACGACGTTATTAAGGATCTGTAGCTCCCCGATCGTACGGGTATGTCTCTCTCCCCCCCCCCCATCATTGCAAGAAGCAACGGTTTCTTTTGAAGCCCCGGCAAGGCTTTCTCCGGACGAGCAGCTGGGAGTTTGGGGCTGGGTCTTTGCGGGCGAGATGAGAAGTTTCTGCCTTCAACTGGCCTACAAAGTCCCAGTTCTCGGCTCTTAACTTTGCGGTGCGACTGGGCGCTACCCTGAGGGGAGAGGACCGAGGCTGGCGAGGCAGCCGCCGAAAAGGCGTTTCTATTGTCAGGGTGCGGAAAAGGGTCACAAAGGTCTGGGGTCGGTGAAATAATTCCTCCCGTCTGGGAATATGAGCTTTAGGGAAGGCTGTTCTCCTTCCTCACCCGCGACATACACCCACTGCGATTGAGATTTTCCCCTACGACATGAAGCACCAGGCAATATCGATCCCTCGACCCAGTCCAAATGGAGCCCTGGAAGGTCGCGTCCCTTTTAGAGGAAGCACGTGCTTAACTTTTCCTGGCGAACAGTCCCGGGTTCCTACCGTAGTAGAAATTAATTTTTCTCTGAGTTGTTCAGTTGCGATAGGCCTTCATACCTATTTCAAACATAAAGAACGTACTGACATTTTTTAAAAACAAATAGATGAATAAGTACGGATCAAAATATTGATTTTAAAATTTAAATAGAATTCAGACCTATTGGAAATATATCTAATGCAACCAAATGAACATTATTGGCGAATTACTTTTTTGAACGTGCTTGAAGTTTTCCATCCTTTCCCATGTTCACGTGAAATGTATTTTTATGTCTGCCAAATTTGCAAGTCATTGTAATCATGTCTGGTTCGGGGCCTTTTTTTTCTCTTTATGTTCTTTAGCTTTTTTTTTTTAATGCAGTTTCTTTCTAAGGAAAAAATGATAATCATAACTGGAAATAGTATGAGTATTAGTGATTATCATATTGTTTGTAGGAATGCTTTAAAAAAATCTTATTAAACAAGGAGGCAGCTTTTGAAAATAGATGGTCAGTATTCCTAATAGCTGTGATTGTTTCATTTATATAAATGATGGAGTTCTGGGGGAAAATTACCAAATATACTGTATTCTGAATAATAGAAGTTATTTGATTTTACGTACATGTCACACTGTAGAAAGCCTTTAAGTAAAAATACTTTATAAGCAGAATTCTTGTTAAAGAAGGAAAATAATGGCTATATAATTTAAGTGTACACATATTCAGAAATATAACGCATTTTAGTAGAAATTATTTCTAAATAATTGTGTGTACAACGCTGGCTTTTAAAAGTTTATCCAAATGTTAATACCTGGGGGGGAGTTATAAATAAACATATTAACGATTATTTCCATAAATAATGTGAGCTTTATGGTATAATTGTCCTATATCCCCATAAGACTTAACCACATTATAGTATATTCACTGCTATATAAATCCTTCTGGTGATGGATTTTCAAACAGTCTGACAACTTTCCATTTTAAAATTTCTTTACAGGGAATGAAAAGCACAGCTCTTTTTTTAGAGCTGTGTCTTTGTACACTTCGTTCAGACTATACAACAATGACAATCCATCTGCCTATTGATATGGGCATATTCCATCTGCAGTCTAAACCCCATTTCATTAATAAAATAAAAATCTATCTCCATCTACTAAAACATTTATTTACCACAATCATACATATTGGTAAATATCAATTAAAACTATCATTAAAAGGGGGACTAATTCAACACAGGTTTAAAAGGACATTTATATGAACTGGCAATACAAGTATAAATAAAAACATAATTGGTGTACAAAAACTTTGAAAGCCAGCTGGGAGATGGGAATATTTTATCTTTTATGGGCCAAAGATGTCAACCAAGATCTCATTTAAGGCAGAGATCAAGAAGCAACTCTGCTTTCATTATATATGTGTATATCTTCTGGATGAACAAATCATTCATGTAGTTCTAAATGTACACATTTGGGAGAAATGTCATTGAACTCTGAACATTTTGAAGTGATCGTTCAGTTAGGACCATGATGCTAACTTTTAATCCATAGGTTGGAATTTAACATTTCGGTAATAGAAACACATCACAGACCTAAAGGTCAAGTAAATATGAACAATTTTAATACCATTTATTTTTCTAAAGGCTTCAGTTTTGGTGTTTTGCACCAGTACTATATTTTTCAAAATGATTTCTACGAAGAAGCAGAATTATTGGTATTTCTATTGTAAAATTTTTCATGCACAAAATTTCAAATGGATTTTATTCAGTATTACTTAATTATCTACAACTGTGACTATACATTCCAGCAAATTAAAAATCCAAGTGTATTCTGTGAGACCTGATCCATTTGTAAGTGAATGCATTAAGAATTTCTGGTGTCCATTTGGGCCTTGTTCTATTTTCTTAGAAATACTCTTAATGATTGTTAGATCAGCTATTTCTCTAAAGAAGTATGCATGGTGCAGTCCTATGTCGGTTTATTTGGGAATGAATTCTGCTCTTCTAGGAAATTTAAGATCTAATTTAAATTTAACAGGCATAGGATCTGACTTCTGTGCTACAGTCCTCAGAAAGAAACTCTAGTCCCATTGCTTGAGACTTACTGCTAGAATAAGTGTTCAGACTAAAGTCAATGTCACTCTTTTTTCAGTAAAAACAAACAAACTTTAGTAGGTAAAATGTGATTTTACTTTACTTTTAAGGTTACTTTGTTAGCTTTTTTCCTGTTCTAGAGGGATACAGTTAATATATTAAAAACATATGTATTAATATTTTATTTATCTTTTTATATCCCGTATTAGCTTATTAATTGCCCTAGGTAGCCCATAAACAGTAACTATGATTATTTAAATAATAAAAAACCAGAACAAGAAATATGCTTTATATTTGTGTGTGTGTGTGTGTGTGTGCGCGCATTCATATTCATTCTATATAATTTCCCAAACCCTAATTATTTAATAGACACATTTTTCCATGGGGGCAAACATACCTTATTTTCAGACCTAAATATTTTTCATCATGTAGTAAATCTGACTAAAGGAAAATCCGTTTGCCATGAGAAACAAATAAAACAATTTTGTATGTGTTGCTCTTTATTATAAGAGGGATCCTCCTCTGTGGCTTACACAAGGATGCATCTCATTGTGTAGCAAACTCAATTTCCATTCCTGTTCTCCAGACTTTCCATTTTATGAATAGGAAAAACGACATTTCCCATTACATTTTTCTTAGTTTTGTCGCTTAACCCTAACATGAAGTAGATGTGTGAGCTCAGTGGAGGAAGAGAGGAAATGTCATCCTTTGGGGGCACTTATGTCCAATTATCATTGAATTTTCTACTCTAAATTCTCTTAGGAGCAGCATTTCTTGAGTAAGTCCCTTAGCACAGCTTTGGAAAGAAGAGGAGCTTCTCTAAAGCCCTTCTGCTAGGCCAACGCCCGTCAAAAGTATTATGACATGATCTAGCACACGGTGACGTGTCCTGGAGTATTTATTAAAATTAAATGTAAATTTGTACTGGATTAGATTTCAAACATTTTGTAAGGTGTTCCCGCATATGCTGCAATTGATTTGTTTCGAGAAAGTGTATGTGATCGATCGAAAGCGAGGTGAATGCGAAATCCTTGGTTAAGAATGCATTCCTAAAATGTCTCCACATGAGAAGATCGAAAGACTTTAGAACAGTGTTTCTCAACCTTGACAATTTTAAGGCATGGGAACTTCAACTCCCAGAATTCCACAGCCAGCAGTGCTGGCTGTGGAATTCTGGGAGTTGAAGTCCACATGCCTTAAAATTGTCAAGGTTGAGAAACACTGCTTTAGAAGGACTCATAGGTGGTTCTAGGCTTGGATCCTGGGACTGCAATCCTTTGTGTACTTCTCTGAAATCCATAGGCTGCATTTACACAGCAGCACTTTCATAAGAAACAGTGTGAATAGAGTTGTGCTGTAAATCCTCTGAATACTAATAGTTGTAAAACTCTGTGATAACCCTCAAAGTAGTTTGGGGAAAACCAAAAGAGCAAATATTTTTCAAGAATTGTACGAGCTCAATTCGCATATTAGGTGGAACTCTGAAGATTAACACTGATATATAAAATATTTCATTTGGATGTTTCGGTCTTTGGTTTATATATTTCCTGATCTCAGACCTTTGGATTTTAATAGGAAATTTTTAAAATGAGTATGCTTTCAGTTTTCTTTCAGTATCCTTTTGTTATATTGCAGTTGCACTTGTATTCTTTTCTTCGAAGAAACTCCAGAGATACTAGCCACAGAGTAGTCTACTTCTTCCTTGCGCCATGTCACTTAAATTATTCTTTAACCTTGTTTTTTGTTTTCTACAATAAATGGAAGCTGCTAGTAGCCCTGCAGAAGGGAAGAAAACCTAAAAAAAAAAAAGGGGGGGGGGTTAATTTGGAATGAGAAAACTTTGTGTATGTCTACATGCTTCTCTTGTTAGATCAAGAAATTGCCCCATTATAATCCCTACACCCCATTAAAA